GAGAACTTGGTATTGATGGCCATTGAGGAAAAGGATGAAGAAAAGGGTGATGCTACGATCCCCGACCAAGAAGGAGAAGACTCTTCTGATGATGTAAGTGCTTCTAAATCTCTTTGCACATGCACATGCAATACTCATTTCTCATTAAATAATGCAAAATAATTAAAGAACTTGAGGAGAGATTAGAAAACAATCACGGAGTCTTAGTGAAGAATCTTAGAAATAATGTATCACTTACCTTAAAGCTTGAATCATCAGAAGAAAAAGTTAAGAAAATGACTTTAGAAACAGATAAGCTAGGACTAAAAGTCACTGATCTAACTAAGAAATTAGGTGAAAATGTGTGTAATCGCAAATCAACATTCGAATATAATCTAATTAATAATATGGAGAAATCGAGTAGAAGAAGAAAAATTTATCAACAATCAATATCGTATATTCATAATGATATGACAATAATACATGATATATGAATTGAGTGACTTGTTGAGAGAGAAAAACTAGAGGTACTTTACGAGAATGATAAGTGCGGAATTAATCAATCGTGTAGAGTCTTAGTCTGTTCAAACCCTTTGCATGTATTTATAGGAGGAATCTCGGACATCCTATTACAATTAGGAATGGTAGGAGTGTGGGCTTTATCAGCTAAAAAGATTGTTTCTCTCTCAACTAAAAGTCTGCTAATACTAAGACAAATTAATCAAAGATAATTACAATTAATTTTAACATAATAAATAATGTTCTAACAATCTCCTCCTTTGTGTTCAAATCAAGATGAAGAGCAGATTATCTTTGAGTCTTGTATAGCGATTTTCTGTAGCCTAAACTGACTTCATATTCTGTGATATTTCTTCTAAATTGAAGTCGTAGGCTAACAGCAGAAGCAAAACGTAAAAGGCGGGTACAGGGCGGGTAATGGGACGGGCATGTATAAAACTGTAACCACCCTCTTACCCGTAAAATCAAAATGGGTATTCCCCGCCCCATACCCGTTACCTAGTCAATGCGGTTTTCCCCGTTTTGATCGGGATGGTTCAGTGCGGGTATCCATCGGATCGATCACAATTGCCATCTCTAATTACAATCGGGAAAGATAACATCCTTTTAAAAATGAAAAACATACTTCCTACATTGTATTGTTTAGAACTAGCAGTTCTTGAAAGATCAATAATATATCAAGTTCGAACTATTCTTTCCAAATCTATTAGTATTGACATGCAATGGTATTATGGAAAATGCTTAGTGTACATGAGTTGTACACAAATTGTACACAAAACCCCCTAGTTACCTGTATACAGCATAGCCAATTCATTTAGAAAAAGACAGAATTTGATACCTAATTGCCTGTACACAGGCAATGTACACATTTTGTGTACATCTTGTGTACATCAAGCATATATGACTCATGGTATTATACCACACTAAACCGAGCCGCCAAACTATGTGACCATAACGCTAATCATAAAATTGAACTGTACTGAAACCTCATTATACAATATCAATTTTAATAATTTATTGTAACGTTTCCGGGTGAGTCGTGCCAAAAGTTAGAAAACTCCATCAACAAGAGGTATGCCCACAGTAAGAGGAGACCGGCCGGCCGGACCGGGGCATAGATGGACAAGATTACTTAGGAGACTGGAGAAGGTGACCTGCTGTCATGGTTATTAGATGTGATCAGTTGTTGGAAAATTGTGGTCCAACGGGAGACATGATTGCATAGTTGTTATACAAATAAAGTTTGATCGACACAAGATTAATAAAGTAAAAATTGTGTGATTGAAGGTTATACAAAGAAGGGAGAATCAACTGGAAACACAAATTCTTTACTTAAAATAAAAAGTAGCAAAATTAGTGTAACAATAAAAAACTAAAAATTGACAAAGTTTAAAGGAATCAAAGAATACTACGTAGTATATATTTGTGTCTACCGTTTTTTCCTATCTCAATTGTTTGTGTGTTGTGATGAAGAAGCTAAGATTTCATGACCTCGAGCCTTTTCCCATTTCATACACAAAGTAATCAATGACGGAAAGGCACTCTTCCAAATCCAGAAACGTATACTTGAAAGTGAAGGATGATATGTTAGCATCACATTCATGTCATCGGTACCATTATTATCAATATAATGTCATATATTTTGACCTTGAAATTTTCTATCTAATGTGGTGTGATCTCAAAGAAGTTCAAATGTAAATATACTTAGAGACCGTTTGGTAACACTGCTTTTCGACTTAGCAGCCAACTTTTTTACCAAACACGTAACTTTTGCTTTCGCGCGCTAGATTGTGTAATAAACAGAAAAAGTAAGGTTGGAGTTGCTTTTCTGGCTGTATTGCCTGAAGTTACTGTAGATGACCATTTTAGCTATTTTTACATATAATATTTTCTTTATTTTATTAATAAAATATATTTTAATATATAACTCTTAGTTATATTGTTTGCTTATCCAAAACTCAAATTACATACGGAGTATATATTTAAAAATTATGGAGGAATGACTTCACCCCGGAAGTGTAGGTTTTTAATATGTTGTACGTAGTAAATTTTTTCAAGCACAATGTAAAAGCCTTTTAGCTTTTGGTACCCTAGTACATACCAACTTGGTATGAGATGAGAACATTTAAATATATTCTACAAGGTGAGTGCTACAATATTCCACAATTAAGTTAGAATAAGGTATCTACAATACATGCAACTGGTGGGGCAAGTAATTATTTTATCAATTATTTATATACAAACTACATCATTACCATAATCTAGTGGATGCAAGTTGACAAAGTCTGGGGTATTTTGTGAGTATCATAGAATTTGTCATTTTATAATACTCCACAGATGAGTAAGTTATTGGTGACTATGCAACAAATTATTTGACATTATGTCATTTTTTGATATGAAAAAACACTTTTTTGTACAAATTTTACTATTGCACACTTTTACACTTGTTTGTGAATGTATTTTTTTGTTTGCCACAGAAAAAAACGTATTTTGTCTGTCATAAATAAAATACGATTTGTATATGGCATCAGAAAACCAGACAGACAAAACATGAGTTGTCTATGACAGAGAAAAAACCTCTTCCCAAACACGTGTAAAAACGTGTACAACATACAGTAAAATCAGGCCCGTGCCTTATGTAAGGCTGGAGAGGCCCAAGCCTCAGGACCCCAAAAAATTGGAAAAATTAAGGGCCCATTTTTTTTTACAAAAAATAGTATTATACATATATGTATTTTATATCTAATTAGTCGACCCCTCCCAATTAAACCAACCTGCCCCTACGATTTGCCGTTTGCGAAAGATACCAGCAGTCGAGAAATTAGGGATTGAAGCGAACTAGCGAAGAGGCGAAGCGGTCATGGACTCACGAGCGAAGGACTAGCGAAGGAGCTTGCTGGGAGTCCTTGTCGGCCTTCTCTGTCCAACTGTTCTCTACTTGACTACACTCTGGCCGAGAGAAGTGATTCTGGGCATTTCTGGCTTCACACAAATGCACAATCGCACTAGCGCATTTAACATTTTTTTCCTTGAATTCCTTTAACAACTCTAGCTTTAACTCTTTAAGCTTCTACCGACTACAGTTATCGATTCTTGCTTATTTGTATATATTAGTTCATTCTTTGCTTGTTTTTTTTTGTTTGGGGTTATCATTTATCAATATTGCAATTATGGAATTCTCGATTTACAATTAGTTAAATTATGATATTATATGCTTTGTATTTTTAGAGAAAAATTACTATTATACTCCCTCCGGTCCTTAATTAACTTTACACTTTCCTTTTTGGGCCGTCCCATTTTAAACTTTACACTTTCTTATTTGCCTTATTTGACAAACAAATCTACACCAAACAGTGCCAAACAGTGTCAAACAGTGCCAAACAGTGTACTCTACAGTAAAGTCAAATTTATTTCCTTAATATGTGTGAAGTCAAAGTGTAAACTTCATTAAGGACCAGAGGGAATATATTGTTAAGGATACCACTAAATTATGTATTTTTTATTTTTTAGAACCACTAGATTATGCGCATGTGATAAATATTTTTGCATCTAAAACTGTTCGACGAGTTGTACTTAATTAGTTTTTAGTACATTCAGTAACATTTTGTTATCATGTAAGACTTTTATTTAAGAATTATGGTTTTTATATTTAATCATTGAATTTTAGTTAATTATATGACAAACAAATACTATGTATAGGGCCCATTTATGATGCTCGCCTCAGGCCCGAGTTTAGTTAGGATCGGCACTGAGTAAAATGTGTACAACGAGAATTGTTGTTTTTATATTTATCAATGACTAAGTAGCCACACAAAATAAAGACTATAAAGTACTCTGTATCATTTATCCATCTATCCTTATATTATTACACCACTTAACGTGTGAAATGAAAAACACGTATTTGTTAAAAAAGTTAGTATCCTCTCCATTGTCTCACCTTGATTTTAGGGTGTATCACATAAATTGTCTCATTTCTCTTTTTGGAAAGAGACCCACTCAAAAAGCAGCAGTAGCTACAGTATTACTACAGTTCCGCTACAATACCAAAAACGTCTTACTTTTATAAAGTCTACAATAATTATCTTAAACTTCGTAAAAAGTAAATGAGATCATTAAAGTGATACAGAAGGAGTAGTTCGTAAGATAAACGGTCATTTTTGTTGTATTCACACTTATACTCACCTTATACGTACCGACTATGTTGATTTTGAACTGGATTCACAAACAAAAAAAAATCATTCACAATCATAGTGAGTACAAAGTTGGGTATAAGGCTGAGTACAAATAATTTTTTGTAACACAAAATAGCGGTCAAAAATGATGTTTGTACCCACTCTTATACCCACTTTTGTACCCACTCATGTTTGTGAAAGTTTTTTTTTGTCTGTGAACATCGATTCACAGACAATATTTTGCACAAACAAAATATTGTTTGTGAACCGAATTCACAGACAAAAAAAGGTTCACAAACCGGGTATAAGATAGATATAAGTGTGGTACATCAAGCATTCTTGAATAGGGGTTGAAGAAAGCTCTAAATTTTGAGATTTTTTACAGTCTTAAAGAACATCACATTTAGGGTCAAAGAAGCAACTACTCCGGCCATTTCATACTGACTCCCGCTCAGTGTCCCAGTACCTTCTTCCTTTCTTCTTCTTCTTTCCCTTTCCTCCACTCCTAAAACCACCCAACTGATACAAAACCTTGTCTATCAACATTTATTTTGTCGTATTTATCTTTTTCCCACACGTCCATAAATAAATAAACACAACCGTGGGAAAAAACAGTACTGATGAGTATTTTAATTTTAGTACAAATGATTTAATATAGATTTTTTTCTGTCGCTTGTTTTCCGCTGTTCATGTTGGGGGTACAAATGGCAGGCTTAGATTTAAGCAATGCTTCTTATGTTCATCTTCACCCAGACTTCAACCTCCAAGAAAACGAAGATAATGAAGAAGACAACCACTCGAACCGGACCAGCTCGGGGGACTTATCAGCTCGCCGGCCCAGAGGCAGACCGCCCGGTTCCAAGAACAAGCCCAAGCCGCCGGTTATCATAACCCGGGAGAGCGCCAACACTCTCCGGGCCCACATCTTGGAGATTGGTAACGGCGCCGACGTGTTCGACAGCATCGCCACGTACGCCCGCCGCCGGCAGCGCGGGATCTGCGTGCTCAGCGGCAGCGGCACGGTCACGAACATCAGCCTCCGGCAGCCTGCTTCAGGTGCCGGTACTGGAGCCACCGCCGTGATGAACTTGCATGGGAGGTTTGAGATACTTTCCCTCTCTGGGTCGTTCCTTCCCCCGCCGGCTCCGCCGGGTGCGACTAGCCTGACGATATACTTGGCCGGGGGACAAGGGCAGGTGGTCGGCGGCAGCGTGGTGGGTGAGCTGACGGCGGCAGGGCCGGTCATCGTGATAGCTGCTTCTTTCACGAACGTTGCTTATGAGAGGCTGCCCTTGGAGGAGGAGGCGGAGGACCCGTCGGGGTCGGTGCAACTGCCGCAAGTTTCCTCTCAAAACTCCGGCGGGGCAAGCGCCGGAGACGGAAGCAGCGGCATCGGCGCCCGGAGTAACCATTTTCCGGCAGACCCTTTGTCTTCGGGGCTTCCATTCTTTAATGTCCCACTCAATATGACACCTTTTGGGATCTAGAAACTTTTGATCATCTTCTTGAATCGGAAATGTGTAGGGAAGAATGGATGGAGCTTCAATTCTTGATCATGGTTCATAAAGGTCAGAAATTTTCTTGAAGGTTTATCATGCAATGTACTAATCACAATGGCTCTTAGCATCTTTAATTTGGTCTAGATCTCTTTCAGTACATGTTGATCTTTTTTAGTTGACAACTTTGATGTTTTTAGTCAATATTTTTAAATTTTGACTAATAAATTCAATGAATTTATTCTCAAGAAAAATATAATTTTCAATCCTAGCTACAAGAACATTATTTAAAATTACTTTAACATAGATTGATGAATATTCGTAACATAGTGATTTGATGGTATCATTTAGAGCCCGTTTGGAGACCTCTTTTTTCGGCTTATCAGGCTTATCAGCCAACTTTTTCACCAAACACGTAACTTTTACTTTCGTGTGCTAAATTGTGTAATGAGCAGAAAAAGTAAGGTTGTAGTTACTTTTCTGGCTGTATTGGCTGAAGTTACTGCAGAGGACCATTTTAGCTATTTTACATGTAATTTTTTCTTTAATTTATTAATAAAATATATTTTTAAAATATTTTTTTCTTGAATCACCAGAATCAGCCAAAACAACCACTTCAACCAGAACTTCATAAATTTCAGTAGAATCAGCCAAAACAGCCGATTTTCGTGCTACCAAACGGGCTCTTAGAGTTACACGTTCAAATTCTAAAAATACAAAACTGATGGAAAATTGAGATCGTAAAGAGATTATATATTTTGACCACATGATGACAATGGGCAAATTCGAGCGGGAGGATTTATTATACTCGGGGAAAAAAACTATTAATCAAAATTTAACAAATTTGACGAAAAAGTCAGAGTTGTCAAACTTTAATTACCAAACTTCCCATTTTGTAATATAGTCCATTTTCAAGTAAATTTCTCATATAAGTCCTTTATATATCTCTGTGTACAAGTGGTTTGAGATTTAATGACCGTGTGGTTGTTTATTTTGTCCCTTTTCTTTATTGTATCATTTCACAAAGCATAATAAATATCGTAAAGCACAAACATTCAAATTCGTTTAAACGGTTGAATTTGCTAAAATTAGTAAAATAAAGAGTATGTATATAATTGAGTGGATATGTTGGATTATATTAGTATATAAATAGTACTCTTTCCGTCCTGCTAACAATGAGACAAAAGAGAGGACAAACAAAAAAAGAGGTTTACGTGGTTTATATTGAATTGATAAAGTAAGAATAAAGTAAAAATGATTTTAAGCCACACAAACTTTGCTAAATTTGTTATGGGACAATCTTAGTGGAACGAACCGATAAGGTAAAACGGGACAATCATAGCGGAATGAAGGTAGTACGGAGTACATAGTATGGAAAATATATTTTATAAGTGCATTGTGCATTTAAGAAAAAATATACTCTTCGGTGAATTCAATCAAATTTATTTCTCAAAAAATAAGTTAGATTTACTTATTTTGAAGGAATGATTGAGCACATGATATAAAAAATTCCATGTATAAAACAAAGTAGTTATGTTGTAGGTATTACGGAGTATGTTACTTCGTACGGAGTATGTTACTTTTGAATTTGTTAAAACAATTATTGCTTTTGAATTTGTTAAAACAATACTACATTCCAATTTGTGAATAAAAACATGACTATAATTATAATGAGTATATGTCGACCACTGCATTATAGAATTATAAACAGGAATAAATATATTTTTATAATGTATTATGTATTACTACAATTACTAACACAATAACTACGTATTACCATGCATATGTGATCATATATTAGGCATCTCTATTCATTAAATTATTAGAGGCTTAAGTTAACGATGTGTAGATAGATTTGGGAGCATGATTGAGTGAGATTATTTGACAAAATAATCTGAGATTGAAAATATGAATTCATATTATTTCAAGATTATTCTGACATTAGAGGTAATTAGTTAGTGCAAGATCCATCACCCACATAAAACTTATTATTTGTGGGGTGGCCACCAAAAAATCGTGTGATAATTGTGATTAGCGATTTGCATTAGCAATGCTAACTATTTGTTTACCAGTTAATCAGTTGTGGTCAATAGACTGATTGTCGGTCGTCGTTAAAAGGAATAAAAGGTGCTTGACAAATTAATCGCTCGTCTAATTAGCTACTAATATATAATATACTCCGTATGTGAAATCGCCCGCCCTAATCTCAAACAGGATCTAATTACGGTATAGTTTCAAACCGTTTCTCAGCGATGTTTTTTGAATAAGGTGATTCAGGTTTTTACGCGCAAGAAACCATCATATTAGATGAATCTTGTTTTCATGGGATAGAGGAAGTATGAGTTTCTCAGCGATGTTTTTTGAATAAGGTGATTCAGGTTTTTACGCACAAGAAACCATCATATTAGATGAATCTTGTCACTGTTGCTGCCGGAAATTGTGTCTAATACTTCAACTCAACATTTAAATATATTTGTGTTTTCATGGTCATGTTGTTCGTAATTAGTACTACCTCCGTCCCTTAAAAATGACTTTTAAGGACCTTAGAATATTTGAGAAATCGCAATTTTATTTTACAAAAAAAATGTGTGTATGGAAATGTAAAAACAGTCTATAGACGCTTATTTGTGACATGTTTCTTTTTCTTCATTAATCCCGGAAAATAGTTTTCAGTTTTCTTTTTGGGTCGTCTTGCAAAATAGTTTTCAATTTTCTAAACGAGTTACATTTTTTTAAACGAGAGTTACATCACCCTGCAACCGTTCATCCGTGTTTTATCCCTGAGAGTATGATGCTCATAGTGGGCCGATATCAAAGTATACGGACTAAAGACAATGGAGAAACTATTTTATGGGATAGAGGAAGTATGAGTTGCTAAAATAATTGTTGATACGTAAGAGAAAAGCAAAATGGGAGGAGGGGAGCAGTTCAGTAACAGTACTGTATGTAGTAGATGCAGATCTAAAACTGAATTGACCACTGACGGGATTCAGTGGGCTGGTTTGGTTGAATATTAAAAGAAATAAAATTTGATGGTTTCCAAAAGATTTTCATCAGAAAGAAAAGCATTGTTTTCAGAACTACGACCAGCTGTCGATTAACATCCCAGCTAATCAGCTCCATCGTACAAGGATTCATCTGCTCCATCCCATTATTGCCAACTTATCTACCACTTTTGTTGAATCAAACTCATTGATTTTAGATATTTGACTTTCCAAATACTCTTACCATATTAAAATACCCCAAATTTTGTAGAGATTTTAGATAAATATCTCAAACTTGCATATGTAATTTAAATATTTTAAATTCTATATAAAAAGTTATTTTGGCATCATAGTCAAGCGTTATTTCTTTTTAAAATGAAAATTTATGAGTTAATTGCATAATTTAAAATTATTTTAGAATTCATGATGACACAATTAACATTCTAGACATTCATTAGGAAATAAATAATGTTACTCCCAATCTACGTAATGCAACAATTTTAATTTTCTATTTTAAATTATGCAATTAACCACATAAATTTACAGTTTAAAAGAAATAATACATAACAATGGTGCAAAAATAACTTTTTATTTAAAGATTAGGGTATGTAAATTACATATACAAGTTTGGGGTGTTTACCTCACACCGCTTCAAAGTTTGAGGTGTTTTTATCAATTTTTCCCTTAATAAATGAAATTATTTTAAAGCATATTCTCTCCATCTCAAATGAAAATTACCGCTCGTCTCATTTGGATTTTGGAGGATTTTAATGAAGTTTAGAATTCCGTCAGAATTCATGTGTCCCCGATATCGATTTCTGTGGAATCTATGAAAATAAGGGTGTTCTCAAACATTTCATGGATTCCTATTATTACTTGTTTGGATGGATTTTAATGGATTTTGTTGGATTTCTATATACAAAAACATTCCTCCACAAATCTTATAGAATTCCTCCGATTTCTATATACATAATCTTTTAAAATCCATCCAAATCCTAGTTGGGCACACCCTCTTAGATGTCAAATGATATGTCATCTAGGAGTAACATTTTCATCAATTTTTTATTACTAAGGAATGAAATAAGAAGAGATATGTTAATTCACATCCGTTCTTTTTTAATTGTAACGTTTTCATTTTGAGGTTGGGGTCAACATACAACCATTTATAAATTTCTTTTATTTCTTTTTATGAAATTTAACAAGTTTCCCTAAATTTGAGCAATTTCAAAGTAAAATTCCAAAAAGGATAGTCTTATTCACTAAATAGAAGTAATTACTCTTATATGTTTGAAAAGTACTACCAATTAGGGGTGGATGTGATCCGAGTAATTGAAAAATTTTCAAGAATCGTCGGTTCCATTTAACGGGTAGGTTCGGTTCGAGTATACCAAATCTCAAAATAGGAACCGGATCTTATCCGCCCCATTTGAAACAGGCCGGTTCGGGTTGAGTTCTCGATTCTTTATTTTTTGTAAAACCACCAGCTATGCTAGCAAAGTTTCTACTAAGTTATAAAATTATCAAACTAATTAAGTATTAATGTAATCATAATATAGTAAAAATTCGAAATAAAAATATAAAACAACACTTTAAATTAGTTAACAAAATGTCTAACAACAAATCTGTAAATTGAACAGCACACAACCACCTAAAATAAAATTTTAATCATTATTCATAAACTAAAAGATCACTATAAAGTCACAAGAAATTAAACTAGTTAATATATATATATATATATATATGTCTATAAAAACAATTTAAATCATATTAAATATTAAAATATAAGTAAACGTAAGATAATAAAACAAATATGTCATACTTCATTAAGTAAGAGTCTTTGTTTACAATAAAATATTAAAAAAGAAAAGTTGGATGTTGGAACAGAGAATTAAGGATAATAATTTAGGAGTTTAGATGGACTTAGAAACTCTTTTTAAAAGACTGACCAATTCCCTTAATTGAAAGTCTTTGTCTAGACACAAGAACATGAAGATCTTTCATGTATTGTCTAGAGTCAATTCCCCAAATAAACTAAAAAGCGACAAAATTGCACAAATAGGACTACGTTTTTTAAATTCCCCTAATAGGACTGTTTATGTGTGTATGAACAAATATACCCTTTTAACTTTTGAAATGTTTTGATTAATAAAAATATCATAAAAATTTTATAAAACTATTAAAAACATTATAAAAGCATAAAAACAATAATAAAAAAATGCATAAAATATTTCTAAAATAAAATTTATAAAAAATAAAAAAATTAAAAAAATACATTGCCGCTTCTGCCACCCCTAGCACCACCACCTCCCATCACCGAAGAGAATTCTACCAACATTTTGAATAATGCAATAAGATGACAGATTCAATGAAAATGTTGGCATAATGAAGAGCAATAATGCCATTTTCTTGGTATTTTCAGAAATAATGGCATTTGTTTACAAAAGTGACAGAATTTTTACCGATCAGAAGTGGTGGTGCTGGGAGGCGGTGGGAAGGGTATCCATATTTTTATGGGTTTTTACTATTTTTTATGATTTCTTTTAAAAAATAAAAAATTCATTTTTAAAATTTTTATTTTATAAATATTTTATTAATTTTTTATTAATTTTTCTGATTTTTTTGATTTTAATATGAATTAAACATTTCATTATGAATTATACCCTTAGGGGTATTTAGGGTAGAAAATCAATGTTTAGTCCTATTTGGGGAATTTAAAAAGTAGTAGTCCTATTTGTGCTTTTTAGAGACTCGTTAGTCGTATTTAGGACAACTTCTGTATATTATATTCAATATAATAGAATTTATTAAAATAATATTTTATAACAGTTCGGTCCGGGTACCTATTTTTTCAAATTTTAAAACCCGTTCGGTTCCTAAGGTTTTAAGGACCCGCCTGACCCGCAGTTCTTGTACTCGTGTGCCCACCCCTACTACCAATTATGATAGTTGTGAGAATAATGGGAATGGTACTCCAATAGGAGTCCTGACATGTGTATATATAATGAGAGAGTCCAA